TCCGGATCAAAGTAACCGTAATGCAATAGGTAAGAAAGATGGCAGGAATGAACTGTTAATTTATTTACCTTTGTAATTCCATCTAAGCTAAAAAATTGCATTACTGAAAAGAAATTCACTTGCACAGCAGGAAAGCTCTTGAACCTAAGATCTAAACTTTTTTCAAATGCTCAAAGCAATCTTTATTAAGCTGTAATTATTTCCTAAGTCTCTGAAAATGTTCTACTTTACAGGGTTTAAGTGACTAGTAAATCAACATCCCACACACCACTTAAACCAAGCTGACACTTGTTGCAAAATTTCTTGTCCATAAGTTAAAAATCAAATACCTTATCACAAGCTGAGTTTTTCCACAGGAGTTAAGAGTATTGTGAGGATCCTTCTCATTTATTTTGTAAAAGGGTTAAAATAATTTCATATGCATTACCTTACTTGCTAAATTATGTCTACAATTACTTCCATTAATAAATTTACAGTACAGTGCATTTTCCCAAATGATTCACGAGTTCATCTTCTCTACAGAGAAGAAAAAACCTCATTGATCTCAGCAATTCTTCAAAAACAAGTAAACTGAAAGCCTGATTTAAATCTACAACAATAAGCTGCCAGATAACCAAAAGGCAACAACACACAATACCTAAAGAGGACATTGTCCTCTTCTACCATCACTACATTATTTAGTTCAATATCTGAATAGAGGAAAAAAAAGGTGATAAAACTGTTGCATACCTGTGGAACTTTTGTAGAACTGTCTCTATCTGCACTGCTAAGAACAGCTTCTTTTGTGGCCTGCCTTCACTTTCGAAGGCTATGTCTTACATAGTTTCCTTTTTCAGATTTTAATAATGCAGCAAAAGTAATATGGAAAGAGGTGGCTTCTTATCGCACATAAGTAAAACAAGAATAGGCAGCACAGAAAGAAGTGACATAAAATGTTTATGTGCACCAGGTCTCCTTGTTGCATGCTAGCACACAATTTAATTGCATATTTCTCAAAACTGTCAGCTGCATGATACTCTCTTGTATATTTGCACTGCATATTTTGTTCACTGGTTGAACAATAAAGGAATATAAGAACGAGAATATTGGCGACCTCAATCAAGATTCTCTTGGATAACACCATAAGATGAAGTACTTCTTATTTAAACAAGCATTTGAAAAAATAAAACTGTCCAACAAAACACTACTGTAATGTACTTTGTACACAGGGAACTCTTTGTCCTTGTAGCTATTCCAGAGAAAGAGATTTATAGTGGATTCACTTTCAGAAATATAATGTACTTAGCAACTGCAGAGCAAGAGCACCACTCAGTGGAACTATCAGGTAAAACAATACTGGTAAAGTCAAAGTTATATATTCATAGCACTGCAGTAAAAACAGTTCCAGGTAATTCTACCAAGACAAAAATCTTTCTCAGAAAAATTTTAGGTGGAAAAACTGCTAACTTTAGTTCATATTACAGAGACTATAATTCAAAATTCTATCCTTAATATTGCTTATTTGCTGGCTCACTTTCCCACATACAATTCCTAAGTTTTCATTACTACCATATTTCTTTAAAAAAAAAAAAAAAAATTCCAAAAAGGAAGATTTATGGCCATAACCAAAACCTCTTGGAACCTGGTATTTTTTTATTCAATTCACAAATATTTATGTAAAGTTACATAATGTGGAAAACAATTGCACGACAAGGCACTGACACATGAGAGCTATTTCTTATGCATAATAACAAGAATTGAAATTCCTTTCTCTCCTTATCAAAAGATAGAAAAGATGTATACAAGCTGTTGACAGCTAAATTACTTCAAGACAGACTATGCTAGCTGCAGAAGTTCAGATATTGGAAAGGAAAGCTGGAAATTTTGTAATAATGCATTTTGTACTCCTCTGCATACACTGTGAACCGTGCCACCATGAATTCAGACTGTAGATACAGTGACTTGCTCTGATAGCCCCCTTTTTTGTTAACATATACCTAGATCTCTAACGAAAGAGGGAGAGGTGGATAAAGTAGCCAGGGATAAAGGTGGATAAAGAACCCATGTTCAGGAATCCTAGCAGGCTGCATCTGTCACCAGCTTGTTTCAGTTTGGTCATCTGGATACACGGTTTTTCAGTATCACTTTACTACAAGAGCACTAATTTAATTCCATCATTTAGCCTTTGGGATCTCCAGCATCTCCAGAATAACCACCATTTTTCTCTCTATGGGTAAAAACACTGAAGCCTGTTTGTATTAGATCTCACAGCGTTACTTAGTCTCAGCAGATCATATTCACAAATTAAATCCAAACAGCTGCTGAGTGCAGCTGCCCAGGGGGATGTGGCAACATTTGCTTTATGGTAAGAGGTGATGACTGCTGCCATCAACAATTCTAGGGCACGTTGGCAGGAGCCTCTCTTGCTACTCAAGAAGTTAAGAACTGATGTTGTATTTAAACCCTGGTTTTACTTAACTAAAAATTGAGTTTGGTTTCACAGCTTTTCCTACATTTCTGCTGAGAT